CCCTTCCTAAAATACAACTGAATTCAATGAACTTAAATTCATTTGTATACTTGACAAACATTCACCTAATCTCTCTCTAGGTAAGTAATAAAAAAAAGAAAAAAATGAATCAAATAGAACAAACCTAAGACCAAACTTTGAGGGACAAGATAAATTTTAAAATCCACTTGTATTTTTACTGTATGCTTGCTAAATAGTAAAGATTTCAGAAGATATCTCTTCAGAGTCCCTTCCCAAAACTCAACGGTTTTACAGTCTTGATAACAAGAAAACGAACGTACCCTTCCTGAGACCCAGGGGACCCCAGAAACAGAGGGAGGCGGACAGTGTGAACTGTCTGGCACGGATGGTAACAGCCTGCACACAGACACAGCACTTTCAGTCCATAACACACACTTATCCATCCTTTCAGCTGACCCTCCCATCAGCTCTGAGAAACGGGTAGAGCAGGAAGCAGGACAAAGGAGGAAACTGAGGAATTAAATAACCTATCTGAGATCCCAGACCCAGTGCTTAGCTGAACCAACATTTGGATCCAAGTGTTCTGCCTGAATTCGGGGCTCTTTACGTCACACTGCCATTAAGGGGATAACCCAGGTATAGAGAAGTAAACATTGAGCATCATTGATCAACTTGATGGAGGCTTGGGTAGGACAGACTCCCCACCTGTCCACGTTGGTGAAAACAATCGTGGGCAGTTTGGTTAATTAACTGTGAGCTCTTGTGCTCAGGTGTGTACTGACATGGTCAGTGCTCCACACGGTGAAAAGAAGCACAGGCTTTGGAATGAGATAGTATGAGGCTGAATCCTGGCTCTGCAACTCCCTTGTGTCACCTTGAACAAGCTAATGACCTCTCTGGTCTTGATCTCTTTACCTGGAAAGTGAATCTAACAGTTTTTATTGCAGAGGGTTGATGAGGGGTTAAATGACCTAAGGTGCGTGAAACTCCGGGCAGTGCTGGCGTATAGCAGATTCACCACAAGGAGTCACTTTCAGTGTTGCCATCATCATCAGTATTGGACAGTTCAGGGTCATCACTTCTCCACCTGGAGATGTCTGCTCACCATGGGCCATGTTACATGAACTGCAGGAACTCAGGTAGAGTCAGTTCATCCCAAGGGTGTAAATCTGCTACCGCTTGATGCAGCAGGGCAAATGAAGGCTGTAAAAATGAAGACCATTGCTTCCTTCCTGTGTAGAGCCCATCTGTCTGTTTCTCCTCCCCAGTAGTTTCCTATTAGACCAAGAATCCTATGTCTGATCAACGCCACCTTTCCAAGTTCATTCATGCAGGCTGCATTTTGGCATGGAATATTTGTCCCAGAAAGCTTCATATCATTCAAAAAGAATCATATCTGGCCTTATTTCATGTCCTGGCAGCTTCTAAAGCTGCTTTCATTGTAGGATTTGGAGTATTTCAGCAAGATGCTGGTTAAAGTTTGCTTTGAGTCAACAGGCTTACATCTCGAGTGGGATTTCTTTAAATATAGTGGTTTCATGTGAAACCTCCAAAAACCCACGTGCCATAAATCCTAGCATGAACCCAAACTGCTTACACAATCAGCTGTGTTGGCCTGAGTTTATCTAAACCCAAATACGGGATGTTATTTTCTTGACATTCAGGGAAAAACAGTGGTATTCTACTATTTTTTTCAGTAAAATGCCTTTGGTCTTCTCGTCCTGGGAAGAGCCTAGCATGGACCTCAGGTTACTATTTCACCATCTTTTGTGCAGTTTACTTCACGAAGGGAAAGTTTCACTTTTCTGTGGCTGCTTTGGGGACTGGTTCCAGGAGCTAAAGTAAAACGCTTGTGCAAGAAACACAGCTTCAGTCTTGCTGCCTGCAGTGACTCCTCCTAGCACCTCTCCCACACTCTTGTTCCCAACAGAACGTGTTTGTACAACTGTCCTTGGCCTTTAGAAATGACAGCTACACCCTGGAATCTAGAATTAACCAGGCGGAGAGGGAACGCAACCTGACAGAGGAGAACACAGAGAAGGAACTGGAAAACTTCAAAGCTTCCATTACGGTAATTGTGGAGCCTGACTAGGGAATCCTTGCAGGAAGGTCTGTCCCCCAGGGCCCTGCCGGGTTTCTCAGTCAGCAAGTTTGGTCATTTCTCCTGAAATGAGAAATCAGGCCAAGGCCCTGAGCCAGGCGGAGTCTTCCTCTGAGAGCTGGGAGGGGCTGAGGCAGGGACGCCTGGTTACCCCAGGGCGGTGGGTCAGGCCTCCGAGTCCTTGGCAGCTTCTCTGGAGGGGGCCGGGTGGCCTGGGGACCAGAGACTGGGATGTGATTCCCTTCCTTCCAGCCGGCCAGGTAGAGAGCCTCCACATTGGGCTTCTCCAATCCCAGAAACAGCGGAAGCCTGGGCCCTGCAGAGGCCCCTCTTCTCAGCCAAGATGGGACCAGGGCTCGTCTTGTGACAGCCCAAGTCGAATCTTGGCCTGTGAGGACCCCAGGTGATGTTCCTTCTCACTCCTCAGTCCTCAGCTTCACTCTGGCACCACTGTGAGCACCGCGAGACCTACCAGAAACTGCTGGAAGACATTGCTGTCCTGCACCGCCTGGCTGCCCGACTCTCCAGTCGGGCTGAGATGGTGGGGGCCGTCCGCCAGGTGAGCTCCGCCCCGCCTGCAGTCACTGGAGCAGCAGTGCAAGCAGCGACAACCACAGATCTTGATGGTTAACTTACTGATGGCGGCTCTTGTGCCAGACATCCTATGTACATGTTGTTTTTTTCAGAGTATTTTTGGTGGACCGCCAAATTCTCAGGATGCTCCCTGGGAAAGGTTTCTGTGAACCCATACACTTGGGAGCTGCTGTGTACTAGCTTCCTTTCTTGGAGATTTCTAACACACGTTGGTATAATCAAAGGTTTGAGAAGTCCTATAATGAAAAAGCCTGTTTAACGTTATCTATATATTTCTCAAATGTATTTGAGTAACCCCATTCAACCTTTTATTTTTCCTCATGAAATACCTATTCACTTCCCATGGGACTAGTATTTGGCAAAACATGCTTTAGGAAAAGCTAGTTTGTTTCATGAATCCTCCCAGCAACCCTGTGAAGTAACTATCTTTATGGATGAAGATGTGAAGTCTCAGAAAGGTAATAACACTAGTGAGGGGCAAAGCTGGAGTGCAGGCCCACGTCTGGCTCCCTTGCAACCACTTTGAAGTCCTGAAGCACACCTGGCTCCACCCCGATCCAGCACAGGGTTGTGGGTCAGACTGCCTGAGTTCTAATCCCATCTCTACCAGGATTCACTGTGTGACCTCTGGTCAGTTACCAAGCTCTCTGTGCTCAAGCTTCTCCAGATGTGGATGATGACAATGTGTGCCATTTAAGGGCTGTTGTGATACTTGTAAATCACCTAGATGTTACTTCTGCTGCTGTTACCATGGACCCATGTCCTGCTGCACTGCTTGCATGGCAGGGGTATTCCTGGTTCTCATAGAACAAAGGAAAGACAAGCCACTGGGCTGTCCCACCTCTGCTCTTCAGGGGAAGGGACACCTAACTCAACATCAGCACCCAGGAAGCTGCTCCAGCTGGAGGAATAACAAAGGGAGAGAGAGTTCTAGGAAAGTGGCTGATCTCAGCTCAGGACTGCGGGGACTTTTTCCCGGGGATGGTCACTGAACATGTCTCTCTGAGGGATCCAAGGAGTATCAGCAGAGAAGAATCTTCCTTGTTCTGTGCAGCCTTCCCAAATGTGTTTCTCAGCCCATGCACTGCTCACTTCTGTCTTCACCCTGCTCCTGGTAGCTTCTGTGTCTGGGTCCTCACCATTCTTTCTGGTTCCACTGGACTAGTTCAGGCACTGGTCCTCTCTTTCCTTGTTGCTCTCACTCCCTTTAGTCTAGTCTCCACAGGTAACCCGATTATGCCATTTTAAGACATTCGATGGCTCCCCTATTCCTTCAGAATAAATCCAAATTCCTTAGTCTAGTATTTGAGGTCCTTCATAGCCCAGCCCTAACTTACCCTTTCTTCTTATGAACAAACCCAACCACTTGCTGATTCCTGCATAAGTAGGTGACCTGTACTCTTCTGATTTTTCCAGACAGTTCTGGTATATGTCTATTATCCCAGCATAATTCTCAATGACACCCCTTCCTTTTCCCTCTCCAAAGGATTCTGTCTGGAAGGTAAAGCTTCACCTAGATACAAGCTCCATGATGTCCTGTGTCTGGACCTTAGCTCTTGGAGTTCCCTGGCCTGCATGTTCTGCATTGTCCCTCCTGCCCTTATCTGTGTCCCAGATGCTGCCCACACCCCAGAGCACATCAGTCCATCTCATGAAGCCTCCCCAGCCCACTCCCTGCAAGCAGAGATAACTCTGCCCTCTCATTCCTGAGGCTTAGTAGCTGGACTTGTTCTCGTTCTCCTTGAGTGCAGGTATCTGAGCGCCCCCTCAGCTCACATCCCAGACCACAAACTCTTAGAGGGCAGAGTCACATCTGATTGGTCCCCCAGCCCAGAGAGCCTGGCTCAAAGAGTACCGATGAGCCTTTCCTCCAAGTGCCCCGTGTGCTCACACTCTCCTTCCTTGCAGGAAAAGCGCATGTCAAAAGCAACAGAAGTGATGATGCAGTACGTGGAGAACCTGAAGAGGACGTATGAGAAGGACCATGCAGAGCTCATGGAGTTTAAGAAACTTGCCAATCAGAATTCAAGCCGTAGCTGTGGCCCCTCTGGTAAGGAACTGGGCTCCTGCCCCTACCCTGGCCCTTTTGACATGAGTCCCCGTTGGATCTAGGCTAGGATCATACCTACGGGGCAGCCCCAGGGCCTGTGTCAGGATGGGCGAAGCTCCCTGCCCCCTCAGTGCTGCCTCCAGGCCCCTCACAGCCCCTGCTTCTGTGAGCCCAGGGGCCTGGAACCAGAAAACATGAAATGACCCTCAAGTGACTCCTGACACAATCAACCAGTGTGGCTGACCACTGATGCAAAGCCTCTAGGCTGCAAGAATTCAACCTCCTTTGTGAGAGTGATAGACCCCAGACCTTACAGTCTTTGTGCTTTGGGGCCCCCTCTTTGGGCAGCGCATGCTAAGGAATGTGCACATTATCTTGGAAAGCATTAGGGATCCAACCGAAGATTTTAATCATGGAAATGACATGATTGTATATAGTTTAGGAGATTCCCTCTTGCAGTGGTATGGCAGTTACATTACTGGGGCAACATTAGAGACAGAGAGACCCAGGAAGCTGCTATTACAATAGTCCAGGTGAGAAATGGAGTCTGGGCAGTGGGGTTAAAGTGGGAGCGTGGCTAAAGGAGAGGCTGCTGAGATAAATAGCCGCAGACTTGTGAACAATACTCTTAAAAAAAATACTCTTAAAAAAAAAAAGAGTTCTACACAGATTGTTATAAAAGCACAGAGGAAGGGCCACCTGATTCTGCTTAATATCAAGTGGTAGTATTTAAAAGTAAAAATAGGAGTCCTCCAGGAAAGAAGGGGAAATACGTCATGGGTGGAGGAAACAGCTTGTACAAAGGTGTGGAGGTTGGGATGAGATGACTATGGAACAGACAGTCCGATGTGGTTGCAGGGTTACAGTGTGACGACGACAGGTTGAAGGTGAGACTTGTTAGACCAGGGCCACCTGCCAGGCCATGCTAACAGCCTGGGCCTTGGTCCTCCAGGCAGTGAGGAGGCACTGGGGAGTTTACACCAGCTGCCATGGTCAGATTTTACTTTTAGAAGACTGCTCTGACTTCAGAGTGGGTGATACATTAGGAAAGCGTGGACATTGAGGGATGGAGAGATGAGTTAGGAGGCTTTGCCATGGCCCTGGAGGAGGATGGTGCTTTGGACCAGGATCTCTCCTTGGGAGCTGCCAGAGTTTAAGCTCTGGCTGATGAGGATGGTATTAGCAGGAGAAAACAGACCTTTTAGCGACAGGAATCCCTGTGGAATGCAAACATCCGTGTTACCAAGAGCAAGAGGAGGGAAAGTACAGAAAGTATAACAGATGGAGAAGCCTTTATAAACAGGAGGTTTCACAAGTTTCCTGGGGAATATCAGTGACGCTTCCCAGAGTCCAAAGGCAGCGCACACATGCGGCAGACGGTCTGCTTTGGATCTTGGCAGCACGGCTCCTGACCCACATGCATCTGGGCCTCTAACAGACCTCTCTCTGTCAGTGCTGGAAGTTGGAGGAGCTGCCACCAAAGAAACCCTAATACGTGCGCTCTTCTGTTATTGTCCTGCAAGGTGCCGATCCCCTGCGAACCACCTTTCCCACAATTTATGGAATGAGCGCAGTTGCTCATGAGTCTCCTTCATTCATTCTCCAGACATTTATTGAATCCCTCTGGTGTGCCCCCACGTGCCATACTGAATAGAGAGATGAAGGGACCCAGCCTCTGACTCAAAGGAGCTCCCAACCTGGGGTGAGGGCAGGGCAGTGTAACCGATGCTGTGACAGAAGCAAGCTGACTTCCATGGGTTGCACACCGCAGGGTCCCATGTTCAGTCTGGGGGCATGGGAAAGCATTTATAGTGCTCGGGTAGCTGAGTGTTGAATGGTGGACAGGTGGTTTTCGCACATTTGTTCCCACTCCACTGTTTCTTCGAGCTACACCTCAGCTTGGGCTGGTGCAGAGGGGCAAGACATGCCTATCAGATACTCTGTGAGCATTCCCTGATGGTGCTTGTTCGTTAAGCTTTTATAGGACTTCTTTGTTGTATATGCAATCTCTGTCTATGCCTGAGACTCTGAAGACTACAGTGAAAGAAAAATGTCTCTGATTTCAAGAAAGATAATACACTTTAAAAGAAAAAAATCCTGGTTTTTTTTTTCTGAATATGAAACATACTAATTACCTGCATTTGGGGTTATTTCCTTAAGGTGGATTTCTAGAAGTCTGAATACTAGCTTAGGGAAAAGGAATATTTATAAGGCTCTTAAAGCAAATTATTTCCAAATAATCCATTGATATTTCCATTCAATGGGTGACAGTAATGCTCGGTTCATTGTGCCATGGACATTCTTGTCTTTTCTTTTTAAAAATGGTTTTGACTTTGATGGGCCAAAATTGTACCTCTTCTCATAGTTTTAATTATATTTCTTGACCTTTTCAAATGTTTATTGGGCATTTGTATTTCCACTTGTCTAAATTCTCTAATTATATCCTCTGCCCACTGGTAAGATTGGTATTTTATTAATTGTCTGAATCCTTCATATATAAAGAATATTTTCTGGTTCTGCTATTTTGGCTGACTAGAAAACTTGAAAATCCTTTGACTACAAATATGTAGAAATTTCTGCTGGATAAAGTGAAGCAAACATTGGACTAAAAGAATAGCTGAATCCACAAGAAAAGAAATGGAAACACTCAGATGCAAGAAAAGAAAAGAGAACTGAAACCAAGCTGACCCTGCAGCTTCCTTGGGGATAAGAGGCAGCCTCAGCTCTCTGGGCTCTGGACTTTTGCACTCGCGTGCAATCTGAGATGAGGCCTCAGACAGGAGAGAGCTGACTCTGAGCCTCTTCCCGAGGACTGCATCCTTGGCATAATCACCAACTGACAATGAAACAAGTCAAGGACGTTTGCCTGTTTCACCCTGGACTTTAGTAGGAAAAAAAACACATTCTCCTTCCTCTTAGTAAAACTGCATGCCCACAGAGTACTTGCATAACAGAAGTGATGATGCAATATGCAGAGATTCTGGAAAGAACATCACAATGGTGCCACTAGGAACAGTCGGAAACAAATACAAACCACTCTGGAGAGACACGCCCTGCACCCAAGATACACAGGATTCCCCTGCATAAAGTGTCACAGAAGATGAGTTTACAATATAGAATTATAAAATAAACAAGAAAACAATCCACCATGAGCAAAAATCATTAGACTCTCAAACAATAGATTATATCCTAAGGATAGCAGATAATAATCTGATAAAAAAAATTTTAAAGTTATGTGTTAAATTATTAGAGGCATGAAAGAATAAATTAAAAATATGAGAGTAAAAGAAAATGATTGTCAAAAAAAGAAGAAAATAGAATCCTAGAAATGAGGAATAGAGGCATGAAAATTAAAAACTCGGTTGTTCAGGAGTCATGGTTAAGAGTAGAAGCTATCCCTCAATACTCCAGATCTCCTCCTTTTGGGCACACTTCTCCATACCCTTGAAGTTAGGGGAGGCCATGTGATTTGGCGTTAAATGTGAGCATAAAGACATGTCACATTTGAGCTGAGGTCCTTAAGAACCAGTTTGCAATTTGCCATACGTTTCTTCGTCTGGACATGACAACCATCACTGCTCCAGAAGGGCAGAAGTTCCATCAGCCTGAGTCCTGAGTTAGGAAATGCAGAGCAGAGCCTGCTGCCAACTCGTAAGGAAAGGGACGTGTAGCAAAAGCAAGAAATCATCTCAGTTGTTATAAGCTGCGAAGACTTTGGAGTTGTTTATTATTGTAGCATAACTAGCTTATCCTGACTGGTACAACATTTACATCAGATTGAGGATGGTTGAGGAGAAAATTTGTTAACCAGAAGATAGATTTGAGGAAGTTACCCAAAATGCAGTTCAGAGGGATAATATTAATTTTAAATATGAAAGAATTGTTATGAGATACATGATATGAAATTTAGAATGAGAAACTTTGAAATGCTTTTATTAAGCAATCCATGAGAAGATAATGGGGTAGAGAGAATATTCAAAGGGATTTTTCAGGATCTGAGAATTTTCCAGAACTAAAGAAAGACATGAATGATTGCATTTAGAAAGTACAATGAATTCCAAGCAGGAGAAATGAAAAACATATCAAAGAGAACCTTTAGGACACCAAAGACAAAGTGAAGATCTTAAAAGTAACCAGAGAGAGAAGACGGATTATTCACAAAGAAATGTCAATTCTCAAATACCAATACTAACACCAGGAAACAAAGAAGTAAAGCGTTCAAAGAGCTGAGAGAAAATAACTGCCAACCTAGAGATAATACTACCAGCTAAACTATTATGTGAGCTTGATAAAGACCTTTCACAAGAATTTACTTCTCACAGACTCTTGCCAAAAGAACAGCTAAAGGATGTACTTAGGGAAAAAGAAAATTGAGATCAAAAGAAAGTAGGATGCAAGAAGGGATGGCAACAGAGACTTCTGTAAACATGGGGTAAATCTAAATAAGTATTCACTTATTGTATGATTGTTGTGTAAAACAACAATCATAATAATTTGCAATCCCAAAAACAGTGCAATAAAAATATTGGAAAGCAATATAAGATTCGAAAGAGTGATGTTTGTTTTAGCATTGATCCAGGAAAGGAATAGAGATCTTGATTTATTTAAAATTTAAGTCATGTAAAATGTTAAAAATTTAAAGGGCACACCAAAGATTAGAACTAAAATATATGAACTCCAAATCAACTTTGTGGGGGTAAGAGTGGTTAGGAAAAAAATCAATTAATGAAGCAAGCAAAATAGAAAATACAAAATAAGATGGTGAGAGCATATCAATCACAAGAAACATAAACAGCTTAAACTTGTTGGTTGATAGAAAATCTTAGATTAGATCAAGAAAAAATATCAGTTATGTGGTTTTCAAGAGACACACCTAAACTACATGAATGTGAGGGATAGACAGCTATACAGACTAGATAGTATTGGTCAAACTGAGTCAAAGTGAATTGAGTGTTCAAAAACCTTCCTCTGCACATATTGATGTTTACTTGTGGCAGTGTTATCCAGATGTGGTGCTAAATATTTTATTTGAATGTTATCACTTAATATACATACGAAGGAGAAGAGAATCCTGGGGTGCTGGTTTCTTTTGCTACAAATTACTTTGTAGATGACATATTGAAATTACTGTTGGCAACAAGTTTTCATTTTTTATCAACATTTCACCTTCCCTGCTCATAATTTCTGTGACTGTACATTCCTTGAATGAGTAAAAATGTCCCAATGAGCCCAGGTATTGCTACGAGGAATCTTCACACACTCTCTGGGGCATTACCCAGAGACTGTGCAGTGGGGACCAGAAGTGCAAGGTTGGGGCTTCTCATAGTGCCCAGAGGAGTTAGGATGAAGGTTCTGTCCCAAAAAACCCCCACTCTGCAGATGATTGTGTCGAAGGGTGAAGAGTCGAACTCAGTGACCTCGGCACCTAGGCCCTTGGGGCATCTCTTGAGGACCAGCTTTGGCCCATAGGTACCCTGGCTTAGTTCCTGCTCTCTGCTTCCTGCTGGAGCCTACACTGAAAACTTACCTGAGTTCTCTTCTCTGTTCCCTCCTGTTGCAGAAGATGGGGTTCCTCGCACAGCGCGGTCCATGTCCCTCTCACTGGGAAAGGTATGCATGTTCAAGGAATACCAGGGCCAGCAAGAGAAGTTTCTACAGTCACCCAGGAAATCGTTCATTCTTGGATCCAAGGGTCCCAGGGAACCTTGGACAGCTTCTCTCATTCAGCCTCTCACACTTGCTAGCTCAGCCTCCAGTCTTCCCTTGCTCATGGCATCCCAGACCGTACTGTGTCTTCAATGAACACAAAATGATGCGTAAACCTTGGTGTTGCCGTACATAGTTTTCATACACTAACCAGGGTTTCATACGCCATCCAATGACTGGGGGTCAATTCTGTTCTATTTCTGATCAAGTTAAATTGGAACATGTTGAGAAATCACTCACCACTAATAAAAATTTTACGTTAATTTTGGCCACCCTCTCCACCCACCCCATCACTACCCTAAAGCCAGACTATCCAGTGAATACAGCAATACAATGGGCCTGGTCCCTTCTCTTCTCACAGAACATGCCCCGCCGGAGGGTCAGCGTTGCCGTGGTTCCCAAGTTTAATATCCTGAACCTGCCTGGCCAGTCGCCCAGCTCATCCCCCACCCCCTCCTTACCAGCCCCGGTGAGTATGATGATGCCTACCTCCCGGCCCCTAGGCTCATTGCTGTGGGGTGGCCTGGATGGGGCAGGGTCAGCAAGGGAGGAAATTCCCAACGCAGATTCTGTGCTATGGCTCAGAAAGCTCAGTATAGACCAGGCCCCATGTCTTCCACTGCCCTGAGAAGACGATACAGTATCCTTGAGCAAGGTGCTGGCAGTTCAGAGAGTGTTCCTTGCAAAGGGTACCTCTTTTCATTCTTAAACCATGACTCTCCAAAATGGGATTTTTTTTTTTCACTCTGCAGTGGATTTAAGCAGCTGAAGTTTGCATCATGCAGTAAGTAGTTAGCTGACCTTTGAACCATAGACTCTCTGACTCCAGACCCCCAGTTCTTAAACCCAGTGTTATCTTGCCTTGATTCATTACAGCATTGTTTACAAGACTGAAAAATTGGAAATAAGCAGAATTTCCATTACTAAAAGATCGGTTTAATAAATTATGAATTTTCCTGTAAGGGGTTTCTACACAGCTGCTAAATATAATGAATAAATATAAATATTTATTGACATGAAAAAATGTCTATAGTTTATTATTAACAAAAAGCAAAACTCTAGTATATACAGTGTAACTCTGTTTTGTAGTGTTTTTTTTTAAGAGCTTTTTTCTGTGTATAGATGTAGAAAATTCTGAAAGAATAGATGTAAAACTATTCATAATGGTTATCTCTGGGCAATGGTAAAATCACAGTTGATTTTAATTTTCTCAATACCTTTTCATATTTCTATAGTAAGAATATATTACTTTTAATCAGAAAAAAAATCCATTTTAATTTTTTGAACAAAGATAATTCCTACAAACAGAGTATCTTCTAGATCCCAGACATTTGTGAATCCAGTTAATCCTATCTAAAACTCTTCTAATGATTTCTCCAGTTGTTTCTCTGTGCCCTGTCCCTGCTGAGCACTACTCTGTAAGGAACCAGTCTGTTGGAAGCAATAGGTAAAATGGGTTCAAGCTCTGCTGTAGTACCACTAGGTAGCAATGACTCTTCAACTTCTTTCACCTCTTCCTTTTGAGCATTTCAGTCATCTATAAATCAACATAAACTCCCAAATCCCTCACTAAAATAAAGCAACCTGAGGAAAAAAAAATTTTTTTTAAAGATCTTGGGGAGAGCTAGCTGGTGTGTTTTAACAGGCCTATTTCTAATGTTATACTAAATGTACAAACGTGGTTTCCAAATATATATTCCTTTAGACTAGGGGTTCTAATCAGCGATATACATTAACATCACACAGGGTACTTCTAAAATGTGCAATGCCTGACCCCACCCTGAGGTTCTGGATTGGATCAGTTCTTTGAAAAAATCTCCCCTAGGCGTTCTAACATGCAGCCAGAGTTGAGAACCATTGCTTAAACCAAATCCATTGCAACAAAACAACGTGATAGTCCTGGGGAATTTATTACTAAGAAATTTCTGATGCCTTCAGCTTTTTGTAATGGCGAGCATCTCTTGTGAGTTGTGCTTTGAACTGTATCACTAGGGCAGTGATGGGTTTGCCTGAATCCATCCCAGGGACCTTGGGGCCTGCGTTTTGTAGGGGGTCCGCTAATGTTTAGTCCAAGTCAGTAAATAGGGAACAGAGAAAAACTGATGGCTCCCCTCCAGAATGGAGTCTCAAGGTGTAAATTCTTTTCTTTGCTCAAGGAGACTGGGAAGAGGAGAAAGGGAAAGGTGCACGTTGCTTGTGCACCTAGAAAAGGAGGACAGAGAAGGCCTGAAGAAGGGCCAATGCCTGGGCTCAGCTGCAGATCAGAAAGCATGGGGAGGGGGAGGGGAAAGAGGAGCAGCAGCCCCTCCCCAGCATCACCAGAGACCTGTCGGTGGTACTGGCTTCTTCCCTCCTAGCTGATCTTCAGTTCTCTGTCTCCTGTTTTCCGTTCAGTCAGAATCACCCAACGGGAAAGGCAACCCACCTGTCACCTCAGCACTGCCTGCACTTTTGGAAAAGTAAGTCTGTCCATTTTCCTCTTAACTTTGGGGATCTCTGGGGAGAACTGCCCCAACTCACCTTTCCTCCCATCCTCACACCCAACATTTCAATGGAAAGCAAATTAAATTCTGGGGGAAATGAATGGGATTCTGAGATCCACAAAGATTTCAGACCCAGTTTGCAAAATTCCTGGACCAGGAAGATGCTGTGGCTGAGTCCAAGGGTGCCTCAATCTCTGAAGAGCCCAGAGGAGACGGAAGCCTTCTCTGTTCATTGGGATTCTGTGGGCTACAGATACAAGAAAGCCCCAACTCAAAGGGGTTCAAAGAGTAAGTCCACAAGTGAGACTTCCAGGTGTGGTACAGCAGGGCCTCAGCTGGGCCTCTACAGTTTCCTCTTCTCTGCCCACTTTGTATGTTGACTTCATCAGCAGGCTTGTGGCAAAAGGCTGCAATACCTAGAGGAAGAAAAGGACCATCTCTTTCCATGTTTCTTTCTTCAGAATGAACCCAGAAGCCTTTCGTCAGTCTTCTTTCTTTTAGCAAATTTGGAACATGATCCCTTTCTAAACCAATTGCAGGCTTTGGGAACAAGATTGTCATCATGGGCTTAAAGTACGCCCTGGAGGTAGGGAGAGAGGGTCAGCTTCCCATGGAGCAAAATGGCTCCACGAAGAAGAGTAAATTCCTGAGCAAAATCACGTTGCTGTTAGGAAGTAGGAGGGAGAGTGAGAATTGGGTTGGCAACAAACTGTCTGCTAGGCCTAACTTTTCTAGGCATCTATGCAATTTGCAGGTCTTTTCATCCTCAGCCAGAGCAAGGCAGGCTGTTTCTACACACTCAGAGGAGTTTATAACTTACTTTTCCAATTCTTTCATTTGCTTGCTGGAAAACATCTGGATCACAGCTGCCACCTCTCAGAACTTTCCCCTTGTGTCTTTCCTCACTTGGTAGAACACACACCTCTCTTATTCCTTCTTCCTTGCTTTGAGACAGCTTTAGTCCTTCATTTTCCGTTGTTGTTAGAATAGTTTTGCTTGATCTGGCAAGGACTGTCTGCGTTGGGCCCCTTTTTCAGTACAAGCGCCCAGCTCCCCACCCCCGGACTCAGCCAGTTTTCCTTACCTCTCAGTATATGCAGCCAACACACTGTTGCCCAGTGACCCCCACCCCCACACACACTTTAATCTTGACATTTGCTGGGCAATTCCTCACTTTGCCGCCTCACCCTGAGGAAGCTTACACTTCCACCATGTTGTCTAGGCTGTTTTTGTCTTTTTCTTTGTTTCCTTGTTTTCTTGATCACTACAGGGAATATGCAAAGGGCTGACAAACTAACAGCTATGTGGAAGTAAGCAACTTTACAGGATCTTACCAAGCCCCTGGGGTCATAGTGTCTAATCCATGGTCTCTGAATCTCTCCAGAAATAGTCATTCGACATCCTGAATGAGAAGCACACTAGAATTCTCCCTTCCAATCCTGCATCTGGACATACTAACCTCTTTTCCAGGAGGACCCCAACAAAGCTCCATTCCCAACTCTTGGCCCCCCCTTTCCCTCTCTTTCCGACAGACTTTCATGATGGGGCAGGGCCTGGACTCTGTAGAAAGAATGCTCAGGCCAGCTGAGAGCTTCTATTCGAAGCAGTGGGGATCACCAAGAACCTGAACTATCCTTGGTAGGAGAAAGCAAGGTGCGGAATTGGGGATAGCAGGCAACAGGATTGGGGTCACTTTCAAATATTGTTTAACATGTGGAAAAAAATAGACTTTAATATATCTGTAGGTCAAACAACACATTTTGAGTAAATAGCCCGTCAGTTTACTGAGAGCTGAGCACAATGACAAACATTTTGACCCAGTAGACGTGAGAGAACAATGAGCCTCATTCTAATCATCCCAGTAGGAAAGCACACAGCATTTTGGACTGGGAACAGATGCCAAGATCCATGAGTGTCTGGACCAGAAATCCCTAGGGTGGGCACAGGCTGTACTCAACTCCAAGTTACAGCCATGCATAGGGATTCCTTTAGCTCAGCCCAAACACCAAGTTCGCAGGAAGTAGCCGTTTACACAGAGGACCTGCCCATTTTGTAAGATTAACAGGCAGGAACTTAAAGAGCCACAGTGAACTTAATAGAACTCAGCAAACACTTAAAGGCATTTACTTTGTGCCAAGCACCATTCAGATGGAAACACAATCTCCCTGCAATCACAGTCATATGGAGGGATGAGCATGTATAGAAAACGAAAAAACGCCCTTGCTCCAAGTTCTGCTGTAAAAGAGGTGCAATGAGGGCATAAAGGGAGGGAGAGGTGGACTTTAGCCAGAGGTCATGGAAGAGGGGAAGATTCTGGCAACAGTTCCACAGAGGCAAAGGTATTTGAACTGTCTTTAAAATGCACACGGAGAAATTTCCAGATAGTTGGAGAAGACATTTAAGGAACTCTATACTCAGTCTAGGGGTCAGGAAATAGCATTTTACATCCTACCATATTTCATAGAAGAATTGCTTTCCCTGCCCTTGGCTGTAGCTGTGTTTTTCTGCTCTTGTTCCAGTCGTTTGGACAAATAGGAAACTGCACATCAGGCAGAGGTCACATGGAAGGGAGTGGATAATGTAATTTTAAGGAGGAGAAATGTTATGAGTAGCTGATATTTTTAGAGTGTTATCTTTCTTGCTCGCGATGGGTTCTGGTTTCCAACCCGATGAAATGTAAATTTTACAAGGTCTGAGGAAAACTCAGAGATGGGAAACTGTTGCCAAGAGTGAGGAGAAGGTGCAAGTCTCACTCATAAAGCCTGTCTGAGAGGTCGGGGAGGGTGGCAGCTGTGATCTGTCAAGAGTCCTGGCTGAAAGGCGCTGTTTGGCCTTATTCCAGGGCTCCTCCCTGACAAGACTCCCGTCAGGATTCTGGACACCTAGGTGGGCTGCAGGATTTACAGAGAAGGCGTGGCCATCAGGATACCTCCTTTAAGCCTGAGATTTCCTGCCTCCAGCGGGCGCCCCCCTTCCCCTGGCGCTGTCAGTCATCCTGCTGATTTTCTAGCATGTTTGTCTCCCCCAGCCCCCACCACCCTTTCACGATTCCCATGCCTTCTCCTCTCTCCTCAAGCCTTCCTAGGCCTTCCTGCCTCTCACTCTCAGCAGATGACCTTGTCTTCCATTTTCAAGAGGAAAGTTTAAGCTGTCAGACAGGAGGATCCTTCTCCTCTTCCTCTGCCAGGTCCCCAGCCCACCGTCTTCATCTCCTTCCCGTTGTCACCGAGGCACATTTTCTCCCCTTGTCTAAGGTCTGTCCCACCTTCCCTTTTCAAAGGGTTTATTCCCTTGGTCATCCCCTTCTTCTCGTCCCTCTCCTGGCTCATTTCTATCCACACTCCACTGTGCTTTCATCCCTCGACCCACTTGCTCAGCTACACCCTCCCCAATACAGTCTTCTACTCCCAGTCCTCATCAAATTACTGTGTCTACATCTTCCCCTTTCTCACCCCCCACCCATCACTAAGCCCATTCTAATCTGTCTTTGGCTCCTATCAGGTCACCAAAGCTCCTCTTGACCTCCATGTTATCAAATCTCATAGTCGCCTGACTCGGGCTCTCAGAAGTGTGTGTGTGACACAGTTACCGCTCCTTCCTTGACACCTTCTCCTCTCTCAGCTCCCAGGGCTCCATGCCCTCCTGGCTTTCTTCCTAGCTCTCTGGCTGCTCCTTCTTAGTCTCCTCTGTAAGAGGAGCTTCACCTGAGCTAAGGGCGGAGATGCCAACGGCTTGGTCCTGGATCCTCTTCTCATCTTTCCTCATTACTGTGTCCCTAGATAGTCTTACCCAATCCCTTGCTTCCTGGAGCTCTCCTCTAACTCACTTCAGTACATCCAACTCCACCTGGATATCTCTCAGGCATCGAAAATGTATCTTGTCCAGAAGCCAGCTCTTACCTCGTTGCCTCTCTTCAGCTCCTCAAACATCTCCATGTCCTTTGTGTCTCAGGGTCTTTGCACATCTTGCTTCTCCCTGGGAGGGTCTTCCTCTGCTATGAATGTGGCTGACTCCTTGTCTTTCAGGTCTGTGCTTCAGTTACTCTATCGCAGAGAGGCCTTTTCTGAGCACTCAATCTAAGCAGTTTCTCCCCTTGTTATTTCCTGTCATTTTACAGAGTGTGTTTCTCTCATGAAAGTTATCACAATTTGTAATTAATTTCATATTTTGTTATTTCCTTTTGGGGGTATTCTCTCCTGCTGAGCACCATGTCAGCAAAGACCATTTCTTTTATTTTTGAATGTATCCCCAGCACATTACCAGATGCCTGTAACTTAAGTCAGTGCTCGGTAAATATTTAAATGAATGAAGTAAAAGATGGACTACAGGGATGGAGTGACTCCAAACGGTGGGTCTTCTCCATCCTCCTGCTCTTAGTGCCATGGAGCTCCCATTAGCTGTCTGTCCACCCATAACCTCTCCCAGAGTAAGGATAGAAGTGGATTTGGGAGCATGAGAACAAAGCGGGAGCTGGTGCAGTATTTGATGTTTGGGGGTCTAGGGAGAACTCATGGACTAGGGCCTTTATAAAATCTCGTGTCAAAGTAGAAAGACTGAAATAAATTCAATCCAGAATGAGTTTCCTCCCTTCCAGCCAGGAACAGGCCAAAGACATGGTTTGGTTTTCAGATGCCCCATCTGTCCCTGAAAGGATGCCCTGTCCTTCCCTCTTCTCACTAGTGGAAAGACGAACGGGGACCCTGATTGTGAAGCCTCTGCTCCCACGCCGACTCCGCACTGCCTGGAGGGGATTAGCCGGGAGACCAAGGCCAGGCTGGAGGAAGACGCGTACAGCAAGGGGTGAGTCAGACTTCGGCCACCCCAGGGTCACCGGCATTTGTCAAAAGATACCTTCCCACAGGTTTTTCCTGCCTCTTAAAGGATTTAGGGAAGCAACCAGTGGCCCCAGGACATCCTTGCCTCAGTGAGGAACTACATAGGAAAGAGCAAAGCTGTTCCACAGGAAGGAAAGGAGGAAACAGGGCTAGAGAGTGTGGTTCGATCATAACAAGACTGCTCTCTTTTTAGGCAGAAAACCACCAGAATGCCACTGCCCAGAAGGGTCTAGAAATCAGGAGCTCTGGGTGGTTCCTCTGGGTGGTGCCTGAGGCTTCCTAACAGGTGCCAGGAGCAGCTGCAACCCCACTTCCTAGAACTGCCCCAGCCATCCTTCTTCCTGTGAAAGGAGTCCCCTCAGCTTCCAGCTGTCCCCTCTCTAACTGAGTTTCAGTGGCACCTTTGGCCCGTTGTCAATCCTAATGGGGTGGGGTACTGAGCAGGTACTGGGTGGGGCCCCAGTTCAGCCAGGTAGAGAACTGCCTCTGACCAGGCACCGTGCCCTGAGCATCTTTCCCTCTGACGTGGAACCTGTGGGCTTCGGGGTGCAGCCACCTGCACTATGGTGGAGTTGTCCCAGCCAAACTCTGCTGACCTCAAACACTCAGCTTCAGGACAAGCAGAAAGTCTGTTCAGGGTAATATTAGTCCCGGAAGAAGGAAATCAGAAGGTTTCTCTTGAAAAGTCCATCTTTTCACCCACACCTGTCCTCTACACCTAGAATGTGGGGGAGTAAGGTTTCTGTTGGCTTTGTGAACTGAGTCCCTCTCTAGGCCAGTTTGTGTGCCTTTCATGTCCACAAAACTTCCCAACAAGGCTGTGTGATGGCTGTCACCCTTCCTAAATCAAGCTGTATACCTGGGACTGCGTCACCATGTTCTGACCCCCGTGTGATGGGGACTGGCCTCTCTGTTTTACACAGGAGGGGCTGAGGCTCCCAGGTGACACAGAGAGCATGTGCAGACCTCAAATGGTTTGTGGAAGAACCCAGCTGGGATGCTCTGCACCCACATTTTTTCCCTGTTTTGTCACACTTTCACATAAACAGGAAGAATGGCTGAAGGTGAGGGGAAATTGTCCTGACATGAGCCACCCTGGGATGCAGTGGGGCCTTCCAGCTTTTTCCTTTTGTGTGGGACCACGGGAAATGCATGTGTCATCATCGGGGGTGCTCAGCGCCCTCCTCCAGTGACTCAGGAAAGAATGCTCCACGCCTGGCCTTTCCAGACTCAGTCATTCGTTGTTGCCTTCCAGATACCAGGAAGGTCTAAAGAAGACCAAGGAGCTTCAAGACCTGAAGGAGGAGGAGGAAGAACAGAAGAGTGAGAATCCTGAGGAACCTGAAGAGGCAGAAGAAGCTGAGGAAGAGGAAAAGGAGCAGAGAAGCAGGTTGGAGAGCTTACCGTTGCTGAAATGGGTCCCAGTTCATTTCACTGCACAACATCCCTGGAGGTGCCAGTCCAGGGCAATGATGGGTCTGGGGGGCCCAAGTGAGCAGCCAACAGAAACCAGGAGGGCACTCATGTTGGGGGAGGAGGCAGAGGAAATTTCGAAGCGCCAACATAGTTAAGGGGATGTTTGCTAGAGCTGAGGGGTCAGGGCTGGCAGCAACCAGGAGTTCTCAGGAGCTGAGAAAATGCAGGGGCCCCTGAATGGGGTTCCCCCTAACAAGCCCAGCCACAGGTAGCTCACTCCCCATCCATCCCCATGAAAGAGGGAGCAAACCTAAAGCCCAAGAGGGGAGCAGGGGCAGAGAAAACACAGGGAGGTAGGGGACAAGTTCAACTTCATGGCAAAGGTGAGTCTCCAGCAGGTTCCTTCCATGGTGACCAAACAAACCAAATGTTTTCACTTTGATGGGAAATACTTGGATATTTATTTTTTAGTATACTTTATATTTCAAGTGCATTTTCCACTAAATCATGAAATATATATATATTTCATGCAGAAATTAGATATTACATTAACATACATTATATCTTGCCCTACCTGTACCTGTGAATATAGTGACACATCAGCATCCTGGATTTTAACAGAGAGCCCAGATCTCATACATTTGGCCTTATTGTCTCTATTAGTATGTTCAAACCAGAAGTCTTGAATTTTGATTTTTTTAAATATGGTTACAGCAAATTTGGGACACTTTGCCAAAATTATTGTTTTTAAACTTCCAGGATGTCTTGGGGTCCAGGGTGACTCCAGCCAAAAAAAAAAAAAAAAAAAAAGAGACCAGTTGATCTAATCAGCCGCTAACCTTGGGACAGGGTATGTGTCTGTGCCTCAGTGCCGGCAGACTCTGGAAATCACATGCACGCAATGAATAAGGTAATAGAATACAGATTCGAAGTGAGATGAATATGCTTCAAAGCACATAAGAACGACCAGCAGAGCCCAGTTGGTGGGAGATTCAACCAGAGCGAGAGGTCTCAGTCTGCACAAGTCAACCTATGTTCAAGGCAAGAGAAAGTGCTTCACTGTTGGAAACAAACCCGTGCTAGGATGCACCACCTCCCCTAAGGAGAGAAGCCCAGTTTTCAAGTAGAAAGCAAGACTCCAAGCGGCTGGGTCCTGTCTGCTGGGGTCTTCTCTCCCTCCTGGGGGTCCTCTGCCCCTGTTTTGCAGGCCACCACACTGCCTCCTCCCTTCTAATGCAGTCAAGCCCAGGCCTGGACAACAAGCCTTCCTTTGGCTCCCTTCAAAACAGAAGGACAGGCTGGGATTCCTAACCCTTCCAAACACTAAGAACAAAAGAGAACTAAACAGAAAGAGGACATGGAATATAAACAGTCTGGTTTACAAAGTACACAGCTGGATCCTTACCTAGCTCATTTGATCTCGGGCTCCCATTTCGTGCTGCCCCAGGGGAAGTAAGGCTGTGCCTGGCTCTCCCTCTGCCCAGCTCCCGGTCAGTAGCACAAGCCAAAGGCCGCCCGTCACATCCGTCATCCAAGAGTGTTCTTTCACTCCTGCTGATCTTGAGAGGCCTCGTTCTCTCTCCCAACCTCTGCCCCTTCTTGAATTCACTTTTTGGTCTTGAGAACATGCCTGTACCTCTGGTGATGGAGACCAGGCATCAGCACAGCCCCCAGGAGGCCCCCCGGCCTTCTGCACATGGCGTAACTTCACCTGTTCGGGCCCAGCAGTGTGGTGCCGTCTCCATAATAAGTGACGCTGCTCTCACGTACGCTGCCCACTCAGTTATCGGGTCCCTTCCTCACCTGTCACCCAAGCCAGTCTAGCCCCGAGAGCTGTTGTCTTTGATATCAGGCAATCCATTCACTCCTAAGTCCCTTACATGCACAGTTGTCTACAGGCACCTGCACTCAAATGTGATTTCCCCACCATGAAATTTTGGCATCGTCTAAAGTCAACAAGCAAAGTCTGAAGTTATTAAAAGCCCCATGTCCCCCTTGTGCATTTTAAAACTACTGGACTGACCCCAGCAGCTGACCCCTCATTTAAGAGGTTCCACATCAAACACTAGAGTCTTGTCTGAATCTCACCTCTGTGATAATAAGACATAATAAGACATAGTAATGTAACCTGTTGTAACCATTACTTTCTGGAGGATCAGCTTAAATGAATTTTGGGTGAATCAACCCAGTATCTTAACCATATTCAAACAGAGAACACAGTCCTCTGGCATTCATGTAATACATTGAACAAGTGAACTCATCAGGTCCAACGGAACACTTTTGTCTTTTTTCCCACTATCAGTTCAAACCTGCTCTTTGGGGTTAAGATGATATTAGGCAAATTCCTTTACTTTTCCGATAACTCTCAGAAAATAAAAGTCCTCTGGTCAAGTTTCAGTCTCAAGAATAACCTCATTTCAGTAATTAAGATGGCCAGTTCCCTGAAATAGTCAAAAGCCTGAAGTTAAAAGGTTCAACCTTCTCTCCGCCCCCCCACCTCCCCC